ATTATATAATATTTACTAAATAAAAGACCACTTAAAGGTCAAGTATGTCGTTTTTGCGATACTAGTGTCACCTAGCGGAATCACAAAAATAAAGCATATTTTTGAAAAACTTTTGCAAATTCCCTTAAGATTATACTTACCTTTGTAGTATGTTATATGTTATCTGGTGCTTGAAAGTAAAGAGTTAACATTTGCTGCAAAAACCTGAGCTTACATTACCTGTCAAGACAAATTTCAGCAAGTTCAGCATCTCAATGTACAGTAGTCAATGAACTGTAAACTTGGTTAAGAGAATGTATTTTGACAAAAAAAAAAACTTAACACACTTGTTACACACTTAAGTACAGTCAAGACAAATACAATTAAAGTGCATAAAATGTCCTACTTAAGTGGGTGAAAAAAGCACTCTTACATTCGACTAATTACATTAAATGTAAATTTAAACCCTAATACCATTTAATTTAATTGTGATTAACATGCAATTAAGTGTCCAAAAACATTACATTCATAGCGCACTTAAGCATATTATTTTAAAGTAAATTATTTCATTAAAAGTATGCTAATGTGTACTTCTTTTCAAGGAAAATTGAGATGAAAGGTCATCAGATCAAATAAGAATACTGAAGACAAGTAATTTATTCAACAAAGGTTTAAAAATGTGAAAGGAAAATGTAATAATCTGAGGCAAACCAAAGGATGAGAGACTATATTTATGTGTGTGTGTGTGTGTGCGTGTGTGTGTGTGTGTGTGCGTGTGCGTGTGTGTGTGTGTGTGTACCTGGTATTCCCTAGGATAAGGATAGTAACGTAAATTTTGATTCCCATGAGGAAACAAGTTTTATGTGAGAAGTAGGTTTTAGGGTTAGGGTAAGGGGATTGAAAATACAGTTTGTACAGTATAAAAACCATTACATCTATGGAATATGTATATATATATATGTGTGTGTGTGTGTGTGTGTGTGTGTGTACCTGTTTTTCTATTCTGGTGGGGACTTACACCTGAATACACACAGACTCGTGGGGACCTAAATTGAGGTCCCCACGGGTAAACAAGCTAATAAATCACACAGAATGACGTTTTTTGAAAATCTGAAAATGCAGAAAGGGGTAGGTTTTTGGTGTAGGGCAATAGAAAATACAGTCTGTACAGTAGAAAAAGCATTACGCCTATGGAGCGTCCCCACAAGGATAGCAGACCAGACGTGTGTGTGTGTGTGTGTGTGTACGTGCGTGCATATCATTCTGCTCATGCTCAAAAAGGACTTCCTGAATGTATGCTGGGCCAGTAAATATAGATTTCAGGAGAAAAGTATGATATTTTAAAGGAACTAGTACATTTCTTGTACCACAACTGCAGGTGTTTCAAAGCTCAGTGAACAGGAACCACACCTTTATATTTCAGTTACAGGAATGGTGGTAAGTTTGGAGTGTTTATACATTCTAGAGGGAGATTTTCTTGTTTAAAAAACAAATCACTTTACAAATCACTTTATGAATGTTTTAACCAACCAATGAATAAAATCTGAAGTATATACATTCTTACAGTGGGAATGTAACTGCTTCTAATCTTTGACACAGTCAGATGCAGGATAGAACATATTAAAAACTTGCAAAGCTGCGTTTAACATGTATAACCTTGTTAACCTGACATGTTATTTATACCATTAGCCAGTGAGTCTCACAAGGTTCATTTTGGTTACACACCATCCTGCAGAGACGCCTGCACCGCAAAGCTGTTTTTAAAACTTCCTGAGAAAGTTCTCATGTCACCCTTAAGAATACGGTTCAACATCTCACACGTGAGGAGTCGTCATCAACTCATTCGTATAGTACTTTTCTGCACAAACATTCCACTCTATTATTGTGGTACTGAATTACACCTTTCGAGATGATGTGTGGGAACTTTAAGGGTGGGTGGGCAGTCTGACCTTACAAAAGCACCTATTTTGACCCTTTATGATTATGATCATGCATGTACTGTAACGTGAAATAATGTAGTGCTGCCAAATATTGCACTTGATAGCAAATGCTTTGGATAAGAGAAAACATCCAATATGCAAGGTTGGGAAAGGTGTTTTTGTTTTTTTTCTACCATTACCAAGCCTCTTCATCCTTTACATTTGGAAGACATATTCTTAATGTTTGGTTGTGTGGGGCCCCAGGGACCTCATTAAAACATTGTTTTATATACATCAATATTATGTTAAAGATAGCTATTAAAGTGCTATTAAATTTCCCAAACAGAACATGAAGGCTAACCCAAAATTGAGGCAAAAACTTATATACTAATAATAATAAATTGCATATGAATAAACAGGTATTGTTTTCCCTGATTTATGTTATTGTATTGATGAAATGTTTGTGTGTACATTGCTTGTAGATTATCTGTTACTTTATTTAATTGTTAGAGAGCGCATGATTGTTATTTGGTTTGGCTGGTCAGTTGATCAAGCCTGTTTATTCCGGATTGCAGTACATTTTTCTACCCATCATATATTAATATTAAACTGACCACTTTGAAACGTGTAAATACCTTTTGGTATCCTTTGGAAAAATATTACAGTTAAACACACACACAAAAATAAATAAATAAATAAACGTACAAATAGGCATAGTGCACAATGAACTGTAGCCTATTAATATGAATACATTTATTTATTTTTACAGGTGTTGTACCTGTAGCCTATTTGTTTGTTTGTTTGATGTTGCCAGTACTGGTTGGCATGAAAAACGGACAATTTATAAATAAAAATGGTATGGTTTTCTTCATTTTTATTCTTCTAATTGAAATGTTTTTCAATCTCATAACCAGATTTTAAAAATGGTTAAAATAATAGTAAAAAAAAAAATCATTCTATGAGGTTCAATGATGTTATCAATAATCAAGTTATAACGTTTTTACAGACCTCAAAATGCACTGCGTAACAGTAATGACCGTTATGTTTACTATCATCTGTACTTCAGATTACAGACATGAATAAAAACATTCCTGACTAATAGTGTCCTACATTAGGCTATACAGAGTGCACAAGTTACTGATGTCACTAGCGCTCGTTACTCATTCGAGTTCAAGCAAATCACACAAGACGTCGCGCGCTCTCAGTTCTTCAACAGGAGAGGGGAGGAGATGCGCTTGACGGCTCTACTGCCACATTAAAACCCACAAACAGCACAAATGACCACACCCAACAGTTTTGTCCCATGGACAGAGGTAAGTAGCCTATACAGCTATGTTATACACCACCAAATCTTTGAAAATGTTATCTTAACCGATGAACCATTCAGGTCTCCAAGTCTCAAAGTTACGCGACATTGACGCGACGTGACAAACGCTCTGCTATTGTAATATAATACATGTATACTGCTTAACTATATAGCTTCGTTTGTTGTAGAACACGTTCTTTTCCACCTGTCAAAAGATTGACTTGAATTTCTCAATAAGGAAGTAAAATGGGAAGGCAACGCTTAAAATCTGATGAATGGTTGTCCACAGAGGGTCTTGTGAGTTTGTGTGATCTTCAGCACTGAGCTCGATGTCTTCTGAATGTACGTGGTCGGTCCTCCTCATGTTGTGCTTCATCCTGGCTACAGGTGCACATGGAGGTATGACATGATTATTTTCAATTTACGGGATTTTCTTTAGGCAATTTTATGGGCCAGGAACAAACCACTTTCCCATTATTTGAAGGTCTTGGAAACGTTAAAAAGCATGAAAATAAAATTTGGTTAATATTATTTAATGTTAGTGATAAAATTAGGCTCAGAAAGATTAAGCCCTATTGCAAAAAAGTTATCTGCATCATTGTAATTTCTAGATTGTTATTAAAGAAAAAACGTAACCTACATCATTTGATGATGTGGTGTAAATGACACTATGGCTTGATACCCTGACACCATGACTTTTAAAAAAAAATGTCTGTGGTGTTGCATGTTTATTGAATGTTGGATAATATTATTGTACAAATTAAATAGGCCTATAAATGACTAAGAGAGTCCTTAGGACCAAAACTGTCTATTAGGGCTGTGCGATATTGAAGAAAAATGCGATATGCGATAACTCATTAAATAATGCGATATTCGATATGCGATACGATAATGCTTAAAGTGCCACATGCTCAGATGAAACTGTTTTACTCAGCTGTTGCAGAGTCAGTTCTGTGAACTTCTATAACTATCGTGTCATATATATATGGTTATTTGTATGCATGTATGTTCCTGTAAAACCACAACAAATTCCTTGTGTTTGCGCACACTTGGTGTTTTGACATCTCTTTGTCTTTTGTTCATGGCCCCAAATATTGCAAGCTCTAGCGATATGCATATTGCGCTATGTACAATTGCGATATTTCGATAATTTCGATATATTGCACAGCCCTACTGTCTATAGCTAAAGAAGCACCTGTACATGAGATTTTATTTGGTCTAAATATCAAAACATATTATTTAGAACAGCGTGAGAATGTGGATTTGAAACTGGACATGCTAAATTTGTGTGGAACATTTGGCTTCTGTGTTTAAATTTGTATTTGAATTTATCATCGTTTTAATTTAGTTTTTATACAACACTATTAAAAACTAAGGATGTAAACACATTATTAGGATTGTGGTGGACAAAATGTAATAATTGAAGAAATAACCATTAATAAATACAATGATTGACTGTTGTGATGGTTACGACCCTGGTGCAAATATCTAACCGGATCTCATGAATGTGCGTTTCAATGGCACGATTTTCTGTTTCTATTTGGCGTACTATTTATACGCAAAAATGGACTTTGGCGTGCATATTATAATCAGTTGGTAGGTTTAGGGGTGTGGGGTAGGTGGGTATTATATGTACGCCAAAATGCGTATTATATGCACACCAACAAAGTGAGTGTCTTATGCACGCAAAAACGGCGTATTTCTGTGTATAAATAGCACATAAAATACAAAAAAAAAAAATAGTGCCATTGATATACATTTTCATGAGTCGGCTCATATCCTGCACTATCCCGTGATGACATTTTTTGTTGCTTCCTCTGTACTTATGCTTCTTGCAGGAACAGTGTGCACTGTAAAGTCAAGCAAAGGTGAAAAAGTCCTTTTAGGATCCGACTTCACCTTCTCCTGCATCTTTAACAAGCAATGCACCAAACTAATGTTTCGGAATAGGACACTAATTAAATATAAACAATTCCCCAATTCAAGTGAGGTGTCTGTGGATGTTGAGAATTTAACAGAGCCAAGCACCTTCAGCTGCAATTGTAAGGAGCCTCGCTCAGAACCATGTGGAATTGACATCAAACCAGGATGTAAGCTTATAACTTTCTATACCATGTCTTTATTTCAGGGTTCTCACACACATAAGTCTGGATCACTAAATTTCTATAGTGACTATGCATTTTCCAAGTAATTCTCAGTTCTGAAATCAGATTAAATGCAGTCTTTATATAACAATTTTATCCTAATTTTAAATAATTGGATAAGTCTGGGAGGTTCACTGTTCCAAAGGTGTGGTAACCCTGTCTTTTATCATGACACATTATTCAACTTTGCTAGAAATATGTCTTTTAGAGATGCAAAATAAAGTCACCTAGTCTTAGTGACAAATTAAAGGGTTGAAACTAATTACTGAAACTTATTACTTTGGCAAGGGTGGAGACTTTGAAACTGTGAAGTGAAATTTCATGCATGACACAGTCATGTGCTTCTTTTTCAGACCCTCCAGACGTTCCACAAAATCTGACTTGCATTCAGAAAATGAAATCTGGCAACATCAGTTGCATTTGGACAACAGGAAGGGGTACCATAATCAACACCACATGTCAGTTACGGTTAGTCAAATCAGCTTTACAAGGAGGATCTTTTAGTTTACAGATCACATGATGTAACCCAATGCAGAGACATACTTTAAAGTCTCATTAATTGTGTTACTTGATGTTTTCCCTGTGCTTTTATAGGGTTCGAGATGACCTGCACCTTGGCTATGAGAGTACTATGAACTCTACAGGATTTTGTCACTCCACCTTCCCCATCAAAAACTCAATAGTGTCACAGCTCTTCGTGTCACTCAATGTCTCTAATAGCCTGGGCTCAAAAACCTCAGGCCCCCACACCATCATCCTCAGCAATATAGGTAAAGAAATTCCAAAACTCATCATTTCAAACATCAAAAAGAGTGAAACCGTTCAGTTGAATTCACTGTTTAGGATAAGTTATGCTTAATATGGATGACTGAATTGATTTTTGCGAAGACTTTTTACTGTTTCTTTTTTAGTGCACTCTGCATTTGCTGCATCCTTAAAAAAAAGAATAATTATATGACAAGCAGTTTTTCTGTCCATGCAAAAAGCAGAAATACTGCATGATGCAAATCAAAGCCAGTCAGTACAGTGTGTGGGTGAGATTTCATTCTTGCAAAATACTAAAGAAGTGGTTCTTGACCATTTTAAAATATTTTATTCATAATTTCTCATAATTTATACCTGCTTAATTATTTTAGAGCTTGGCATAACTAAAAAATATATATATTCATTATAAAAATGTTTATGATTTTACTCATTTTTACTTCTAGGTCTGGAGATATCACACTTTTAAAATGAGGCTCCCTCATATATCCAGGTTTTCCAAGACCATGGAAATCCTGGTTTATTTGTTTAAGATGATATGCTTGCTTGTTTTGTCTTATTAAAAAAAAAACTCATTTTGAGAGCCACTGCACTAAAACTAAAACAAAAACTCTGTTTCTCACCTTTCGCTGTCCATGTTGCAGAAAAAAAAACTAAGGACAGACAAATTGTTTGGCTATTTATGACACAAATGATCCACATTGAAGATGTATATAGCTTTTATATGTTGTGCCTGGTTAGCAAGAAGTGTTGTGGGTAGGGGGATTCCAAAGAATAAAAATTAGGTCAGTTTGATAGAATTGGTTGTTTTTACACCAACCCACTTGTTGACGTTATTATTAGACAGTTGCAGCAAAAGATCTTATCTTCATTTCATCTAAAACCAAACAAAACAAAAAGACAACAAAAAGAATTGGATTGCATTTCAGCTGTAGAATAATGTGGACTGAAAACTGCATTGCTTCTCTGATTTTTTACAGTAAAACCCTCAATGCCTGAAATCGTTAATGTGAGCTGCTCTTCTCGATGGTGCATCCTACACACAGACAATCACAGCTTGAATGTGGTTGAAATTCAATACAGTGCGGTAAATGGGATCTGGAACACCCTCCAGGTAAAGCTTCTGATTAAAAATCTTACAATCACATTGAAGTGGCATACAGACTCAAAGCCACTTCTATGTACCTGCAGACCTATCAGTCATCTGTTTTGGTAAAGCTGATAAATAAAAATGCAAAGTCGAGTCGATTCATGATGACACAGACAAAACCCACAAAACCTCACAGATTAGTTTGGTCATCAAACCACAAGCCCTCCATGATGACTCAAACCTGGAATAAGAAATGTCAAGAAAGGGGTTTTTCTCAATCCGTATCGTTAGGAAATTGAACCGCTGACTGTTGCTGTTCCCACAAAGTACGTCTTGATGTGTCTTTATCAATAAAATGATCTCAGTAACTATTCCATGCAGCATAGGACAACCAGCTTTGCAGGAATACAAAACATTGTCATTATAATGAAGAAATATGTTTAGAGATCCAAAGATGGTCTAGTTGATTCTAAACCTAAAGATGCTTTCCACTGGTGAAAGTGCTTCTTCTGCCATTTGCGTGCTTAAAGGGATAGTTCAAACAAAATGAACGTTTGTCATCATTTACTCACCCTTGTGTCCTTGGAACATAAACGGGGAAATTCTGAATGCCGTTTGGCATCAGTGGCATCAAACAATGTGTGATTCATTCATAGATGGCATGCTGTATTCGACTGTGAATGAAGATATACATATAATGAACAGCATATTAACGGTGTTCTTTGAAACTTTTGATTAATCAAAGAATCCTGAAAAAAATGTATCGGTTTCTATAAAAATATTAAGCAGCACAACCATTTTCAACTTTAAAACTCCATTACTTTTGTTTTATGGAAAACAGATGCTTGCATTTTTTACATGTTCTCTTTCTGCATTTCACTAAAGAAGGAAAATAATATTGGATTGGTTTTATGGTGAACTTTTCCTTTTTATACAGTCTCTACATAGGAATTTCAAAGAAGCGTTCAAACATTCTTGACATTTTAACATTTAACCAGATAACATTACAATAACATGTCATGTAATAACATTTACATTTTAACAGACATTTTAACAGTAAACCAGAGAAATCTTCATAGTTAAGATATAACATCTGGTGGGAAAACAACACATTATATTATATTGTCTCCACAGACTAATGCTAAGAGCAGATTGAACATATCCTCACTGCAGCCATATACCACGTATAAGTTCCAGATCAGGAGGAAAATCAACCATAGCGTAGGTCTGTGGAGTGACTGCAGTCAACCAAAGGCAGCAAAAACCAAAGAAGAAGGTATGAAATATATTACTTGTAAGGACCTTCATTAAGTCACATTTTGTAATTATAGAATTTGGAAGGCGGTTTTCTTGTGTAGTTATTGTGAGCTGCTTATTTTCTCTCTTTTAAAGTCATCAGAAAGCGTAAGAGGGATCAAATGACTGTAGGTAGTCATGCATGTTCTGGAAAGAGTACTTCAGAAGTATGATGGTGTTAGATAAGCTGACTGTACTGACGTAGGACAGTCACTTTTTTGTCAGCATGTCTCAGGTGCTTGAGATGCTGTGGCAAATCTAGTTAAAGCAAACTTGAGTGGTGACCGATTAAATTAACTTTTGATAACCTTTTTAGTGTTACTTGACTTAGATGAAAAGTGACTATGGAAAAGTACATTTGAAAACTTTCAAATTTGATGGGAAGCACTGACTTTTGGTGTAACTTAAAAAAAAAATTGTGGAGATTATTTTAGAGAAATGCTGAGAAAAACTGATAATCAACAATTTACTCAATTTACATGGCAAGTGAAAAAAAAACAGCGTAACTGTTTTTCTTCTTCTCTCTCTCTTTAGCTCCTGATAAGGTGCTTGACGTCTGGTACCTTCTAGAAATGAAACCCCCACAATCTAACAGCGAGTGTTTCCACATATTTTGGAAGGTACGTAACCCTTCACCAACCAAAATTAATTTTTGTATTTTCTATTAATGTTTTATGTAACGGTGTACATGCTACGACCAGGTCGCTACACGATCCCCTCCCCCCGTACTTTACTTTTCACACAGGCCCTTAAAGGTCAAACCACCTCTAAGTGATGGCTTGCTTGCGTGAATTGCATCTTCCCAAACACACTGTTAGTCTGAAACCAAAAGTTAGACTACAGTCAGTTTCAGTTTACAAAAAACTGAGTAGGGGCTTAGAGGAAATGATGGATTTGAGAATTCTCTCTTTTAGAGTCATGTTTGTGCCTCATGTCATTAATGGCTGACTCTGTCAAAGATTTTGGTCAGATGCATGCATTCAGACAAATTGAACTGCGTAATAAAGACTGCTTTTATATTCATGTTCACTTTGTTTTAGGAACTGAATTCATCAGATGCCAAGGGGAAAATTCAGAGGTATAATATAAGTGTTCGGGAGCAAATGAGAATGAGGAACCCTATCATCGCAGTTCCACCCAGCAGAAATGAGAGAATATGCTGCTCTCATTGTTCTGTGTCAGTGTCCGCAATTAACTCAGGGGGTCAATCTCCTGTCACATTTATTCATCTGCATTTTCCAGGTAAGCCTGTGGTTTTTGAAGTGTTAGCAATGCTGAGCCAAATAACTGTGGTTTAATAAAAAAGACGCTAAACTCAATGCATATGTGGTCAATACAGCAAGTTAAGCCGTGTTTTTTGTGTGAACAGGTCTGGTTTCAGGTTTCCTGTCACACAGGCCATTGAATAATCATAGTGTTGCCCTCTTCTGGCACAAACTTGCCATTGCAAGCACTGAATATGTGGTGCATTGGTATCCAGTTGGAAACATCGAGGCGATTCAGTGGATTAGAGTGGTGGATACCACAGCTCACATTACAGGCAAGTTTAATTGGATGGTATGAGTTAAGAACAATCAAAATTGGTTGGTTTCCAGACTGTAATAAAAGTACTTTATCTCTTTCTTGTACCTTTTATTCTGCTGTCTATCCAGGTCTGCAGCCTCAAGAATGCTATGATGGTGCAGTTACCGCTCTGCAATCAACTGGTCCCAAAATGGCATCCATTAAAGGCATCTCCACATGGCAATCAGGTTAATTCTTAATGCTCATTCTGCATAAATCTTCATCAAAGTGGATTAAATCAGTATATACTGTATATACAAACACTTCCATTCAAAAGTTTGGAGTCAGTAAGATTTTTTTTTTTTTTTAAGAAAATACATTTTATTCAGTTATGATACATTAAATTGATCAAAAGTGACAGTAAAAACATTTACAAAAGATTTTGATTTTCAATAAATGCTGTTCTTTTGAACTTTTTTTTTTTCAGCAATGAGGCCTGAAAAAATAATGGTTACCACAAAAATATTAAACAGATGTATTTTCAACATTGATAATAATTAGAAGTGTTTCTTGAACACCAAATCAGCATATTAGAATGATTTCTGAAGGACCATGTGACACTGATAGATGGAGTAATGGCTGCTTTTCCATCACAGGAATAAATTGCATTTTAAAAATATATTAAAATAGAAAACAGAAATATGTTTGTAAATAAAACTGAAATGTTACTATTATTTTTTTATGTATTTTTAATAAAAATAAATGTAGCCCTGGTGAGAATATAATTTCAAATGCATGACTCTCTTTATCATAATCACTGTGTCTTGGAATTCACAGCTCCAGAACAGGGTCCAGTTCCTCAACTTTGCTCGAAGAACAGCGAGAGCTTGAATGTGACATGGTCCGAAATCCCTCAAAGGAAGAGAAGAGGCTGTTTGAAAAAATACACTGTCTACTTGATGGACAATTTGAAGGAAGATATTCACAATTTCAGTAAGGCCTATCTTATTTTAAGGCCGTTAAACAACCATTAAGTGGTGGATAAATGTTTACAGATACAATATTTACTGTTGGCTCCCAAGATTTCACAAAAAAACAGCTACTTACTTGGGTTGTTCATCAATAACAGTGCTACATAAACTGTGATATTAGGAGTTTTCTAATGTGGTGCTACACTTTGGCTGCAGGTGTAGACCATCCAAACAGACAGTATGTCATCAGTGGTCTGTCACCAGGACAGTGTTACAATCTGTGGGTCACTGCCTGGACTGATGCTGGGGAGGGACCCAAAGGAAGTGATCTCCCATTCTGCACACCATCATACTGTATGTATATATGTAGATTATAACACTAAAAATAATCTTAGTAATCATATGATGGGTTTTAATCCAAATATTTGTCATTTTAAAAAAAGCACTTTTGTGAAAAAGATGTTTGTCACCCATTTGATAAGAGTGACCTCGTCCTCTTTCAGCTGAGAGAATGCTGTCCCTTGTGATCTTGACTGGTGGAGTAGTACTTTTGGGCTGTCTAATCCTGCTGTGCCTCTGTCAGTTCACCTCCGTCCAGAAAAGGTAAGAATCGGCAGAATGCTTCCAATTCTACAGAAACAAAAAGGCTGTTTTTGTGATTTAAAACACTACCATGTCTGTTCTGCTCGATAGATTCTTATGCTGTTGCCAGTGTCTGCTGCCTATAATTCCAGATCCAGCAAACAGCAAATGTGCAAAGACATACGCTGATGACCAGGTAAATGTATGGAAATGCCCACCCAGGCTGTATTTTCAAAACAAGTGAGCTATAACTGCATTTATGGGCATCAATGCAAGCTTTAGCATCTAGGTTAAGGGTTAGGTTAACATCTAGTTCACCCAAAAATGAAAATTCATAAAAATTATATCATCATTTACTTATACAGTAAGACTTTTTTCTGTGGAACACAAGAGGACAGCAGAAGAATGATAATCCCTTCCTCAAACCGCAGCTTTAAAATCTCATTCACGTGTATTCATAAATTCTAGTCCTTCAGTTTGATTGGCGTGTTCTTGCAAGAGTTTTGGAGCCGGTTGCATGAACTTTCCAGACTAGTCTTTCAAGCTGGTCATCATTTAAGTTAGTTGCATAATGTCTAATTTGATGACAAAATGTAAGACTGATTACCCCTTGTCTAATTTTGCTAGTTGGTAAGAATATTAAAGGGGTCATATGATGCTGCTAAAAAGAACATTATTTTGTGTATTTGGTGTAATGAAATGTGTTTATGCGGTTTAAGGTTCAAAAAACACATTTTCCACATACTGTACATTATTGTTTGTCCTCTATGCCCCGCCTTTCTGAAACGCGTCGATTTTTACAAAGCTCATCGGTCTGAAAAAGCGAGGTGTACTGTGATTGGCCAGCTATATGGATCAGCTCTAGGCATGACGAAGCGTATATCGTCCTCTTTTGGAAGACCAAAGAAAGTAGTTTCGCTTTCACAACGAAGCACACAGCATCTTTATGACATGGCGGCGGAAACAACAAAACTACATCGAGAATAAAAGTTACGCCTTCTTTTTTTGCGTGAACATTTGGGCGGCGTTATGTAAATCTTCCCACATAGTGAGGTAGATATGTGGGGGCGTGTTAGAACGAGCCGTTTTAGGTAGGTGTGGCTGACTCTTACATTTTATAAAGAATATCTCTTTGGATTTGAGACTTTAGTCTTTGCAACTTTACAGATCTTCTTTATGCACCAAGAGCTTGTAACACTCCAAAGAGAAAGAAAAAATTTAAATCGCATCATATGACCCCTTTAAGACATATTCTTAAGGGTTGGTCACACTGGACTACAATAAATTCCTTCAGACACTTGTCTTTTTTAAAAACATGAACTCAACTTATAACAAAAAGTAATAAATCAAAACAATACACTACTCCACTCTCCTGCAATGCTACAAACTTGCAGCTTTAAAGCTTGTTCTTTTAGAAGGTCATGCTATGATGTATCAATATTCTATTGGTCACACAGGATACTAATTTGCAGGTCAGAGTTCACCCAACCTGCACTTTGAAATGCAAAACTTCTTTGCATGAGCTTGTGTTTCCAGTCTCCAGTATTCTCATGAATGGAATGAAAAGTGTAGTGTGACCAACACAAATACTTAACATAATGGCTTTGTTTATGCAACTGGCCCCTGATATACAGTCCAATAGCACTGGGACTTTTCATTCTTTGTATCAGTCCACTTGCTTGTCAGTCTGTGCATTAGTGGTGGGAATTTTTCAGTGGCTCTTTCTTCAGGTTACATCATTATTGAGTTACTTACTTTGTGAGTGAGTTGTTGAATCAATTACTTTAAGGTATAGTTCACCCAAAAATGAAAATTCTGTCATTAATTACTCATCATCATGTCGTTCCAAACCGGTAAGATCTTCATTCATCTTTGGAACACAAATTAAGATATTTTTTAAGAAATCCGAGAGCTTTCTGACCCTGCATAGACAGCAAGGGAACTACCACGTTCAAGGCCAAGAAAGGAAGTAAGGACATCGATGAAATAGTCCATGTGACATCAGTGGTTCAACTGTAATTTTATGAAGCTACAAGAATACTTTTTGTACACAGAGAAAACAAAAATAATGACTTCCATGTTAATCTTCGACACGCGTTCACTAGAGTACCGCAACATACATGTGGTGCTGCTGACGCAGGAACTGGCGTTCTAACATAGAACCCGGATGCTCTGCGCCTTGTTTACAAGCAAAAAATTATGCACACTGTCTTCGTAAACATGTCTGAAGATTTTGACAGACAGGGTGTCTTGCCATTTTTTTGCTCAGCCTTACTTATTTGAACCAGAATATACAGACGATGAACTAAGGGAGATGGACGTTCTTGGTCAGAATGCCAGCTCCTACGTCAGCAGCACCGCACGCATGCGTCGTGGTACTTTCTTTCATGAACGCGCGTTGAAGACTGACACGAAAGAGAAGAAATCGTTGAATCATTTTCTTTGCGTACAAAAAGTATTCTCATAGCTTCATAAAATTATGGTTGAATGACGGACTACAATAAATTCCTTCAGACACTTGTCTTTTTTAAAAACATGAACTCAACTTATAACAAAAAGTAATAAATCAAAACAATACACTACTCCACTCTCCTGCAATGCTACAAACTTGCAGCTTTAAAGCTTGTTCTTTTAGAAGGTCATGCTATGATGTATCAATATTCTATTGGTCACACAGGATACTAATTTGCAGGTCAGAGTTCACCCAACCTGCACTTTGAAATGCAAAACTTCTTTGCATGAGCTTGTGTTTCCAGTCTCCAGTATTCTCATGAATGGAATGAAAAGTGTAGTGTGACCAACACAAATACTTAACATAATGGCTTTGTTTATGCAACTGGCCCCTGATATACAGTCCAATAGCACTGGGACTTTTCATTCTTTGTATCAGTCCACTTGCTTGTCAGTCTGTGCATTAGTGGTGGGAATTTTTCAGTGGCTCTTTCTTCAGGTTACATCATTATTGAGTTACTTACTTTGTGAGTGAGTTGTTGAATCAATTACTTTAAGGTATAGTTCACCCAAAAATGAAAATTCTGTCATTAATTACTCATCATCATGTCGTTCCAAACCGGTAAGATCTTCATTCATCTTTGGAACACAAATTAAGATATTTTTTAAGAAATCCGAGAGCTTTCTGACCCTGCATAGACAGCAAGGGAACTACCACGTTCAAGGCCAAGAAAGGAAGTAAGGACATCGATGAAATAGTCCATGTGACATCAGTGGTTCAACTGTAATTTTATGAAGCTACAAGAATACTTTTTGTACACAGAGAAAACAAAAATAATGACTTCCATGTTAATCTTCGACACGCGTTCACTAGAGTACCGCAACATACATGTGGTGCTGCTGACGCAGGAACTGGCGTTCTAACATAGAACCCGGATGCTCTGCGCCTTGTTTACAAGCAAAAAATTATGCACACTGTCTTCGTAAACATGTCTGAAGATTTTGACAGACAGGGTGTCTTGCCATTTTTTTGCTCAGCCTTACTTATTTGAACCAGAATATACAGACGATGAACTAAGGGAGATGGACGTTCTTGGTCAGAATGCCAGCTCCTACGTCAGCAGCACCGCACGCATGCGTCGTGGTACTTTCTTTCATGAACGCGCGTTGAAGACTGACACGAAAGAGAAGAAATCGTTGAATCATTTTCTTTGCGTACAAAAAGTATTCTCATAGCTTCATAAAATTATGGTTGAATGACTGATGTCACATGGACTATTTCATCGATGTCCTTACTTCCTTTCTTGGCCTTGAACGTGGTAGTTCCCTTGCTGTCTATGCAGGGTCAGAAAGCTCTTGGATTTCATCAAAAATATCTTTATTTGTGTTCCGAAGATCAAAGAAGGTCTTACGGTTTGGAACTACTTAATGTTGAGTAATTAATGACATAATTTTCATTTTTGGGTGAACTATCCCTTTAAATGATTCATTCAAAACACTGATTTATTCAGAAACAAAACAGCTGACTGTCTTTATGAGTGAGTCATTGAATCATTCACTTAAGTAATTTGTTCAAAAACATTCATTTTGTTTTAACTTAATTTGGAACTATTTTCGAAAGCGGAGCAAAATTTGTATTTTGTAAGTAATTGGCAATATTGTGACTAAAATGTAAGTTACGCAATATTAACATTTTGTTTATTTAACTGTTGTGTAAAAGCAGTACAGAAGAATTTGTTTTAGAACATCAAGTAGAATGAATGAAGTAGAGGAAGGCAATGAAGTAGAATTTTGCCTACTTTTTTGAATTCTATGTATTCGGACATACTACTCTTTTCATATACTGTTTTTTGCCTTTTTACCTCCTATATACAGTGTTGGGAAGGTTACTTTGGAAATGTAATAGGTTACAGATTACAAGTTACCATACTTAAAATGTAATAAGTAGTGTAACTTTTCAATTACTTTATTAAAGTAATGTAACTGATTACATTTGTGAGAGTGTGTGTGAAAAAAGCAGATGTAACCCCCTTTGTAATCCTTAACATTTTCATAAGTAACTGTAATTTAATTACATATTTTTTCTCAGTAACTGTAACTGATTACAATTACTTTTATTTTGTAATTAAATTACGTAATTCCGTTACATGTAACTAGTTACTCCCCAACACTGCCTATATAGTAGGGAAGTAGGCATATTTGGACACAGGGTCAAGGCAGAGTCTCAGGTTTCGTTTTTAAAGATCCAGAAATCAAAATGCTACTAATGCTAAAAAAAAAAGAAAAAACTTCACATGGTGCTGTGGTCAAAAATGCCACTCTACTGTATGTTTACATATAAAAAAGAAAAAAAAAAGCAGCAACAAAAACACATTTTGTGTTCCACACATTAAACACATTTCCCCAAACCTACTGGAGTATTGTAATTTGGTTTAAAATGGAATTGGATTTGTTGGCCAAAATGGTGTAAATATGAACTGTAAATGTAATTCATTAACCAATACACACCTGTTCCCCTTCCCACACAGAGTGAAATCAAATTCTACCTAGACCAATTTGACTCCAGTGTGAATGAGGAGCCCGATAACGTGGAGGTGGAGGAAGTTCCCTATCCCTCCATCTGCACCTACATCAAAAGTTTCTCTCAGGAGTCCAGCTCCTCTGATGCCACCCAGATCACCAGGATCACAGACATGATAGAGGACTACATCTCCACTCATGGCGCAATAAGTGGAGGAGAAGAGGAAGATGAAGAAGAGACAGGTTTGGACGAATTTGAATTCTTCCCAAGCATGCACAGCCCTTTCCTGGAGCCCCTGGTTTTAACTGGAGGGAAGCTGACGCTGGATGTAGTGAAAATAGACTGCAGTGAGTTTCTGGATTGCACATGATTCTCAAGAGGCATTAAAATTGGACCTGACAGTGACTATACTACGGATGCTGAAAAATAACAATGGACATTCCAGGAATAGCCAGTCAGAAGGACAAACTTTTTCTCCTTGCTCTGAAACCCAGCCATACCTGCATCTCAAGCTAATGTTGGACATTTTAAAGTCGCAATGTAATGCAAATAGCGAAAGATTTTCTTTTTGCATATTGTGATGAACATCCAAGTGAAATGGACACAATGTATGACAGGGGCTTGCTTCTATCTGTCTGTTGTTGATTGGATGGAAGCAGATCTGAATGCAAGCTTGCAGTTGATTTTAAGGAAGCGGTTGGTTTCAGCAGACCAAATGTTTGGAGAAGTCTGGCATAGAACTCTGATGCTTCACCGGAAGATCAAATTATATTTTAATAAAAAAAATATAAGGTAAAAAATAAAATTAAAAAAAAAGTACACATAGCCTGCCTCAGCTACTTCTCTCTGAAATACAGATGATCTAACAGACTGTTAACAGCCCATCAAGAGTGCTGGATACTTAACGAATGTAAATTGTAAAGGGTTTAGGCCATATTCTACAAATTCCATCTTTCCACTAAAACACTCAGCAGCTGTCCAACACTAACTTTAAAACTGTAACTTTTCAACTCTTTCACAATACATCAAGAAAAAATTGCACAAGTTTCAATATCAATGCAGACTCAGTACTCGTATCTACTCTAATGCAAGGTGTTTGACACAAATACATGCCATCAGTACATTAGTTTTTCATCAGCTCAGCTGAATACTGTCCTAATGTAAAGTTTTTATTTGTAAGTAAACCTTTAAAGTCAAAGCATCATGAAAAAAAATAAATGTTCTTTTTTGGATATTTGTGTGGTTTACGGTCACTACAATTTTAAAATGAAATGGTAAATGGGGCTGTGGAGAGAGGGCAACATGATTTTGGCCTATAGCCATTTTACCAGTCAGTCACAAATAGTTGTTTCATGCGTATTTCACAAACTAAACCTCAATAATAAACTAGATTTCAACATTTTCTAAAGGAAATGCGAGCTGCCAAATGCTTTTGCAAAATATGGACTTGTAAGTGCAAGTGTAAGTCCACTGTAAACACAAATTAACCACCTCATTTACAATAAGTTCCCACTCGTTAACCTGAATACAATAAGTATTTCTACAGCACGTATGAATTTTAATTTCAAAATGTAAAATTTTTGAAATCAAAACTTGAATCTGTCAACACTAATGCATCATGCACTAACATAGAAGAATGCTGAACTGCATTTTGTCAGCCAACTTTAACCAAGATTTTAAACATGCTGCAAAAAAAAAAAAAGGCTCATGTTGGCTAATGCATTAAGTGTTTACAACTGGGACCTTACTGTTATTTCTAAGCCAAACTCGATCTCTGACACCATTTTAACCAATACTACACCATACCATAAGAGACAATTTTCAGCTACTAACAGGACCAGTATCACTATTGGATTTTAAATAAAATGTAACGAACCAGCATCAGACAAGAGCAAGTTTGAAGCGGTTTCATCTTTGAAGTTAAAGTCCACACAACAACTCTGTATGAATCGACTATCTTTTAATTATTGACAGAGGTCTAATAGCAGGGTAGGAATTCACACATCACTCAGCTGTTCCACACTGAACAGGATGGTTTCTTTCAGACCAGTTATGCAGGAAACTGTTGTAAAAGCAATGGGGCAGAAAGAAAATGTCATTTCTAACAGGATTTATCCATAACCTGGCTCAAATTTTTTAGTAAACAGGAGTGGTGTGTAAACTTGCTTCTTGTATTTACACTGGAACTTTGCGTAACGAATGATACTACCCTGAGTTACCAGAGCCAATGGCATAAAGACACCATTTTGAACTTTACAGTGGTCATTCGATAAAAGACACTTTTTGTGGCGAGTGCAACTGAATCATCGGAACTACCTCTTGGCATTAAGTTATGAATCATAAATTGTACATTTAATCGAAATGATTTCAGATTGTGTTTCAAGGCCCGCTTTCAGGGAACCGAGGTGTTTAATTCAACAATGAGCAGAACCAAAATGCTCTGTAATTTCCCTTAGAAATGCAATAACCTTTACAAATTAAAAGACTAACTTGTAGATCTTGCACCTGAAATGGCTGCCTTGTTATGAGGCTTTTTCGTGTAAAAAGCAAGCTACCGGACACCTTAAGATAAACCGGTGTGCTCTTCACACCTATTTTTGGAAATGCATATTTTCAAGCAGCAGTACAAAAAGTATCCATGAACAATGCATAATTTCTGAGAAAAAAAAGAAACAACAACAAAAGAAACACTGTATGAAAACATCCCTGCTACCTTATTTCTAAATACAAAACCTCGACCAATAATTTGCTTCAGAATAGCAAGAAGTCCGTTCTTTTTTTTTTTTTTTTAATTTTCCATCTTTTTTTCTAAAACAGGTAAAATCAGTCCTCAGGGGTGAATGGCATGGATGACAGTCTTCCATCATTTCATCTGCTGAAGGATCCATTAGCATGCAAGCCTCGTAGACAAGGACCCGTGGAGGAGTGATCCTCCTGGGTGAGCAGAGCATGCCGTCTGGCAGCTTAAGCCAGGGCTGGGAAAGCCTCTGGGTCATCCACGTTAGGGACAGACACTCCACCGGCCTAAAAGAAGCAGATACAAGAAAAACAGCCCAATGGAGTCAAATGACTAAAACTTTAGGAGTTATTGTTCATCTTTGAGATTATCTAGCAAAACTACTCATGTACTTCATTTTTTAATGTTTTTGAACAAGTCTCGATTTGCTCACAAAGGCTGCATTTATTTGATTAAGGAACAAAGTAAAATCAGTAATATTGTGAAACATTAAGAATTAAAATTTTGTAAAATTTTTTTGAAAATGTAATTTATTGCCGTGATGTCACATTTTCAGCAGTCATTATTCCAGTTTTTAGCATCAGGATCCTTCAGAAATCATTCTTGTATGCTGATTTAGTCCTTAAAGAAACATTTCCTATTATCCGTGTAGAACACAGCTGTGTTGCTTAATATCTTTATTTCTGAAAACTGTGATGCATGGTTTTCAGAATTTTTTTGATGACTAAAATGTAAAAAAAAAAAAAAGCATTTATTTGAAATCTCTTTTTATATAGATTTTTTGAAATATCTATTATTTTTCAACAAATTCAAATTTCTTCAGTCAATTTTGATCAATTTAAGGCATCCTTGCTGAATAGAATTATTAATTTTAATTTTTTTTACTTTTCAACAATAATATACCAGTCAGCCAAGTGTGTACATTAATGAGGAAAAAAAATTAACTTAAATGATTTTAGCAAATGGCTGCAATATAACAAAGAGTGAAAAATTTAAGGGGGTCTGAATACTTTCCGTACCCACTGTATATATATATATGCACACCTGCAGAGGAAATGCACAAAGAGACTGCACCTTGTCTGGCCTGCGTTCGCGAGGTGGTCTGGTAGCAGCAACAGCTCCACGGCCTCCTCTGCCACCTCGTGGTCCTCCACGACCACGTCCTGTGCGGCCCAGGTCCCCGAAGTTAATCTCCAGCTGGGATGTAATGTCATTAGCTGGTTTACGGAAGTGGTGATCCCCAGCGGCATCATCAGCAGAGGCCTGCAGAAAAAAAAAAGAAAAAAAAAGAAGTACATGTGATATGTGATATAATAGAGCAGCACGATTAATCGTTAAAAGATCACCGTCTCAATTCAAACATCCATGCGATCCCATTTTTAAATGACAACGATTCAATGTGTCTGTTTTGAAAAAAATCATACCGGAACATTTAAATCCGTGTTCATGCTGCCGCTGACACAAGAGAGCAGATATTTACCACGTTTAGGTAAGAAACAGCTTCCCTTTTCAACTACACAGTATTATTTCTGTCTTGCATTCATTCATATTATCACAAAGATACAGAGATGAAAATTCAAAAGATCAAATCTGCTTTTGAAAGTAACTGGCGCTTCAAATAACGTTTGTGTCGATTGCATTGTTACAAAATTTACTGACTGTAAAAATTTTTTGTCATTTAATCATTCATTCACGAGATTTGTTCAAAAACGCTGATTCATCCAGTAATGAAACAAGTGTATTATAAGTAGAGGTTGACCGATATGGGTTTTTCACTGGCCGATGCGGATATTTAGAAATCAGGGTAGCCGATGGCCGACATATGATGCCAATTTTCTTTCTCCCCCCCCAATTTTAGTAGCCTAATTCAGAGTAGTAATACATCGCTCAAAACTTAAGCACCTTCTCAAAACAGTTTTTCACATGCAAATGACTTGTTGCACTTATGAATATGATAACTTTCCGGCATCAATTTTTGTAGGGTAAAATGCAATTATGCTTTCACACACCAGTGTTTCCCACAGACTGCAAATTAATTCTCTGCCAGCAAGAGGTGCTGTTGGAGCAGAGATATATAGCGGTTTCCCCGGTAACGGCTGTAATCAAATAATCACTGCTCTCACAAATGCTACTTTATCAGGCATTACAGGAAAGACGAAATGAAAATGACATCGAAGCTTTTCTGCAGACGGTCGGTTCTTTTCAAAGATACATTCATATAAAAACACCCGCGCTGCATTTTCATTTTGAAACGCGCCGTGCTCAGTTTGTTCAATGAAGTATAAGCCTTTTGGAAAATCTATTTACTCAATGTATAGGAAACACTGGACACTGCTATAAGTCAAATGGCCAAG